AACTGAGCCTTGTATCCCAGAAAGCCATTATCCGAAACATTGCCTTCAGTTGGCCCTGTGTTTCGGATATCCGTCTTTTTAAAGAACACTGGTCTTTCAGGTGAGGTCCAACTTCAGTAAGACTTGTTCTCCAAAGACATGAGTCCATGGACAATTCTGGGATATTGCCTTAACTGAGCCTTGTATCCCAGAAAGCTATTATCCGAAACATTGCCTTCAGTTGGCCCTGTGTTTCGAATACCCATTTTGAAGAAATAAAGAAATTGTTTATTCAGCTGAAGCCATACTTCAATTTCTGGGGGGGCAAGAAGCACTACCAGTGCAAGTTTATGTTCAGCAGAATTGAAGAAACAGTAAAGCATTCAAAAACAAAGCAGCTGAAGAAACGAACATCAAATTAATAATTTATGCTCAGAAATTGAGCTACAAGTTCAAATAAGCTGTATCGGCAGCCGCCCACAAGCGGAAAATAACAGCTGCCGAAATACGTACAGAAGCAAAAAATAAACTGTTTTGTACGACAAGGCAAGCTGAAGCAAAAAACAAGGCAAAAAATTCAGAAAGCGGCAAGTCTAAAGTTGAGCGCATGATGAACCGCAAGATTCTGAAGACGACTGCCCGAGTTCCTATGCTTCAGCCCGAGGATCAGACTGGTCAGCATTGTTGAGCCCCATGGTGGTCTCAGCCCCAGCAGCAGAAGAAGCAGGCTTTGCACTCTGCCGAGCCTCCCTTTCCCTCTGTTCAGCCTCCAACTCCATTCTCTCAGCTTCTTCTTCGGCTTCCTCAGCCTTAAGAATTTCAGCTTCGACTGGAGTTGCATACTTCATATGAGGGTCTTCGGGATTCTGGACCCATTCAGCACATTTGGACCAGTCCAGCTTCGGCTCAGCATGAAGGCAGACTCTTCGGCACACTCTGAACCCGTTTCTGAAACCCATTTCATATTCTTCCTGGGTATAGACACGGACTTTGAGTAGAGCCTCAGCATCAGCCAACTTCTTCTGGGTCTCCTCCAAGTCTTCCTTGGATTTATTCAGCTCATCGGCGAGCTTAGAGGAGGAACCTTTCAGCTCATTCAGCTCCTGCTGAACTTGGGAAGCCTCTGTCTGAGCCTGGACCACTTCTTCCTTTTTGGCCATCAGCTGATCCTCAGCCTCTTGGAGCTTAGCTCTCTGAGCTTCAGCAGCAGCAGCAGCCTCTGAGAGTTGGGCATCCCTGGCTTGGAGCATCTCTTCAGCAGCCATTCTGCTGGCTTCAAGAGCTTCTAGCCGTTGCTGCACTTCAGCTTGTGCAGCAGCTCCTTCCTGGATTCGGCTCTCAATGGCAGCCTTGAATTTGGAGACGTCCACTCCCATGTGCTCTTGGAGGAATTTTTCTCCTTCCATCAGTGGGGGAAAAACTTCCTTCTCCATAGCGTCGCAGAAGGTTTTGAGGGCTTCAGCAGCTTTTTTCTCGTATTCCTCACCCTTCTGCTGCTTCTCTTCAGCTGCTGCTTGCTTCAGCTTAGCAAGCTTTAACTCCTCTTCGGCTACCTTCTTGTCGTGCTCGGCAGCGTCTACCCTATCTTGTAGGGTATCTATCAGCTCTACAGTGAGAATCTGATTGTGCACGAACTGAAAACAGGAGCACAAGTTAAAATAAAAATAAAATAAAAATAGAGCTGAATTTTAGAGGAAATAAAGGCAAGGAAAATCACCTGCATCATCAGCAGTTGGTTAGACCTGGCTGGGTCAGGAACTGATCTGCTGGATTCGCCCATCCCAGCAGTGGCCTTCAGCGACCAGATTCTTGCCCTATCTACTTCGGACGTGCCAGCAAAATCGCCGAAGTAGGCTACAACACCTTCTCGGTTCTGACCCCATATGAGGTCCCAGATGTGATCTGGGATTGGAATTCGGGGGGCCGAAAAACCCATTTCTCCAGACTGCAGAGTCTGGAAGGAAGGAAAGGATGAAGACGGAGCTTCTTTAGCTTTGGATGGCTCAGCATCATCCTTCTCAGAAGAGTCAATTATTATGACCTCTTCTTCTTCTTCAGGGGTGAGGACGAAAGCCTCAACCTCTCTTGCAATGTCTGCCGTGAAACCCTCAGCACTGGGCATCACGGCATCCTTATTCTTGTGCTCAGCAGCACTCTCCTAAACTTCTTCTTGGACCCCTCCCTTAGATTCGGGAGTTTTCTGATCCACCTCCATCTCAGGAGGTGGCGGAGGGGTCTTTTGAGGTGATTGAGGTGGTGGCCGGGGAACCCTCGGCGATCCATTGCCTTCCTCGGGTTCCCTTATTTCAACACCGATGGTCATCGGCCTCCGCTGAAAGTCATGCGGGCCGATGATGGCCATTCTTCGGCGCCTTTTCTGAAGCGGCTGCTCGTCCATGTCTGAGTCTGAAGACTCTTCTTGTAACTGGTCTTCGGGACGAACAGGGGCTTTCCCTTCTCTGTGTCTGTTACTCTCTTCAGACTGTAAAAGATAGGGGGGAGGAAGAATGTGAGTACAAAAAAAAAAATAAAAAAAAAAGAAGAGAAAGAGACAAAGTTAAGTCTGAAGGCTCACCGAGGTCTTCAGCAAAGCCTCGTCTTCTTCAGCTGCCCTAGCTGCAGCTTCTTCTTCAGCAGCCCTGGAGGACCCTTCTCCTCCTTCACAAGCTTCGATAACCCGTGCAACCTCTTCGGCCGTACGGGCAGCTTCAGCTTCTTCGTCCAGCAGCTGAAACCAGGGATCTCTCTTCTTCCACCAAGGCTTCTGCCTCTGATACAGAGCAACGGCCTCAATTTGGAAGTGGGAAGAGTCTAGATGAACTTCCCTATGCCTCGGTTCAGTGATGGAGGGGGCCCGATCAGTTACAACTCGTTCTCGGTTGACGCCAAGACGAGCGTAGTTAATGCCGACGTTGGTATCGTCCCGCTCTGAAAAAGAAAAGGGGAAAGGTCAGTTCAGTTAGGCTGGCACAGCATAGAAAAAGAGATAATTAAAAATCCTCGGCCCCAGCCGAAGAAGCTTACCATCCTTAAACTTTCGGCTGAGGCCAACATCTGCTAGCATGTTCTCTTGGAAAACATAATGCGTATCGGGGAGCCAAGTCTCCGGGATATGCTGCATTCGGCCGCTGCCCCCCCGGTTCGGCAGCTTGCCGAAGATGTTCTGTTGATTAAGGTTCGGATCTGGCCCGTTATCTGCGGGGGGACCTAGACTTCCCATGTCGGGATCAGGCTCAGCAAGGTACCGGGGAGCGCTGAAGACGCAAGGGTGGCTCGGGTCCGTGGGTGCCCTAACCCAAATCCATTGACCTCTCCAGTCCTTGTCTGAAGAGTCGTTCGGCCACATGGTTAGGTACCGGGGCCGAGACTCAATCCGGTACCACCCAGAACCATGACTTCCGTGCCCTCTTTGAATATTTGGCACTAGCCGATGAAGCTTTTTGAAGCAGTGCAGGTTCAGCACATACTTGAAGAACTTGCAGACCCATAAGTATGTCATCACCCTTCGGATGCTGGTAGGAGTTAGCCGACATAGGGAGATATTGTAATGGATCAACAAGTCTCGGACGAATACGTCCAAAGGTAACCTCAGCCCATACTGAAGTTGTCTTGTGTACACCCCCACATACCCCGGGGGTGGACGATGGATTCTATTGGATGCCACGGGCATTCGGCACCAATACCCATCAGCTTCAAGGATGCCGTAATGCAACTCAATTTGTTCGGCAAACCGATACTGTTCGGCATTCTCCACCAACATGAGTAGGGGCGGTTCTTTATCATTGCCGAAGCTACTTCGGCATCCTCCCACTCTGAAAACCCGGGGAGGATATCCCAAAGGACAGCGGGAACTTCATCGTCCCGCCCAGAAGCGCTCGGCCCCTCCGTTCTCTGAGGAGGAGCCGAGGAAATTGGAGTCGCCCTAATCCCTTCAGCAGGGTCAGACTCTGGCCTTTGTCCATTCCAGGTCCCAATCCTGTTCTTAGGATCGGGAATTGGCCTTGCTCTTCTTGGAGCACGGGCTCTACCCCTAACTCCTCTTGCCATTGATGATTTTGAAGAAAAAAGTCGAAAAAAGAGGGAAGGAATTCGAATTCGAAGAAAAATAAACTAAAATCAAAGGAATTTACCTTAATCTGAAGCGAAAGTTGCCGATTTACGAGTTCGTAGTGGCAAGTCTCAGTTTCTAAGCTTAATGCTCGGGGAATTTGCGAAGTTTTGATGCGGGTTCTTGGGTTCTCTCGAGAATTCTGGGTTTGTGTTGGTGAATAAGTGAGGAGAGATGACGCGCCTCTGATTATATCTCCAGAAATGGGAATACGGGGAGTCCGCGTTTCAATTTCTCTTAAATACCCCACTAAGTAACCGTTAAACACACGACCTTGCGATTAAACTGCCCATTATTCGTCCAACTTCCACAATCATCCGCCTTAACCGTTGTTATCTCATTAATTACGGTTTAAATTCAAATTTTTGGATTAATTAAATCATTCACTTCCCTCCTTTTCTGAAATTAAATCAAACCCGACCCGTCATCCTTCCAAATCGGGTCTGGGGGGCAAGTTGTTTGGGTCCAATTTAGTCCAATTGGGCTTAGGCATTAAATGATCCAATTAAAAGCCCAAGGTCAAGGTTCATCTCTCCAATTGTGCTAAAGTCAAAGATCAGCCCTCAAGGCAAGCCAATTGGGCTAAGGCCCAACTTCTCCATGTATGAAGAGGTATAAAAGCCATCAATATTACATTTTTACATTCAGATTCTCATATATTGAAGCAAAGCCTCAAGCAACTAATTCTCTTGCATAGTCTTCTCTTTCAACACATTGTACTGACTTTAGCATCGGAGGGGCCTTCCTCGGCAACACCCCCGAGGCTAGTTTACGTGTGTTTACTGTGCAGGAAACCTTCGGCCCAACATTACTTGGACCGAATCTAGTCTTCTCCGTTTCATCGGACCTTCGGCAAGGTCCCATTGTTTTCACCCGAAACACTATCCTTGTTGTTGAGCAACTCTAGACGAACCTCATTTTTGCAATTTAACAAAAGCTCCAAAGCATCTATCTTATTATGCTTAACACACAAATGTAAAACAGTTTCACCACTCTTGGTATGCTCTCGAATCGCTTGAGGGTTTTCCCGATTAAAAGTTTCAAGCACACCAACTTGACCATGTATAGCTGCAACATGAATTGGGGTCATCCCATCTCCATCGTGTGCAAAACACATACTCAAATTCTTTTTGAGTATGGTTTTGACAAACTCTAAGCGCCCCATTTTAGCAGCTACATGTAATGGCGACTGCGTGTAACAGCCTCTTTCGATGATGCATCGTTCGAGGATAAGTGCATCTTCTTGGAGCAAGTTGTTAAGGGAATGAACATCCCCCTTAAGGGCTGCATCATATAGCCTTGCCATGGCATTTGGTTGGCTTCTTTGTGTTTGTACTTCCATATTTTTGTGTTTTTTGTTACTATACTCAAACTTATCTAGTATGTAATAAATTAGCAAGGTTATAGTTGCTTTGTAGCTTTAATATGGGGCTATATATATAGAAAGAGCATATGGTATTATTACGGTTAGTGGGGAAGGAGGAAGATGTATGTACGTACTCCCTTGGTCGTCTTTTTAGGCTATCTTATCCGTTTCTTTTGGACATAGTCGGATACTCCCATGCATCATTTTAAAACAAATAAATATATTACGAATTATGAAAAATACTTATAAAAGCAAATAAAAACACATACTACCTCCGTTTTATATTATTTGTAACGATTTGACATAAAGTTGAGAGGAAAAATTCTAATCGTTGCAAATAATATGTAACAGAGGTAGTATATCAATTCCTCCATCAATTACGAGGTTGTTAGAGCACCTCCAATGGTACACAAAAGGGACTTTGTTTGCAAATTAAAAAAAAAATTGTAAGTATGTAACTTATTTAGCTTGACCAATACCATGTTAGAGGACCAACTCAACCAAAAGGTTAAACTAATGGTTGAGGCCTATGAATATGTTTTATACTTTATCACTGTCTTGTATTTTGTCACAAAATTATACGACCTACAATATTTCCACAAAATTTTAAACAATTGTCAGATATTCCGAAAAGGATTTTTTGTGAAAAACTACCTTTTAAATTCCAGATTTTGCGAAAAACTACCCTAAAAACAAAATGTTATAATTAACTACCTTATAAAATATAAAATGTTGTAAATGACTACCTTCTACCGAAATGACACATTTGACTTTTATTTTCCGACGTTGAACATGTCAAGTGTCACGTGACCCTTTAATGGCTTAATTCCCCTCTTTTGATTCTCATGTCTGTCATGGAAGCTCACTACTTCACTCTCTACTCTCTATTATGATTTATCAATCAAAATAGTAAACCTTTTTCTAGCAAAGACTGTTATTATCAAGACGTTTTATAGCCGCGTTCGTTTTTATTTTGTTTTTTCTATCTCTTCTCTCTTTTATTTTTTTTATTTTTTTTTTATTTTTTTTTTTCGCCTCCCTTTTGTTTATTACTCCATTATTATTACTTTTTATTGTTCTATAAGCTATACTACTAAAAGCTAGTATTATTGTGGAAATTTATAGTTAGACTGACCCGTTGACGATTTAAGAATATGAAATGTGTAATTTTTTTTGTGGAAATTTAAAGTTAGACTAATTTGTTGACGATTCAAGAATATGAAATGTGTAGTCTTCTTGTGAAAATTTAAAGTTAAACTGAACCGCTGACTATTCAAGAATATAAAACGAGTAATCTTGTGGAAATATAAAATTAGATAGATCCATTGACGATTCAAGAATATAAAATGTGTAATCTTTGGTGAAAATTTAAAGTTAGACAAACCTTTTAGACCTATAGTAGGTTTGCTTTACAATAAAGTGAGATATAATGTTGAAACTTTAATTTAATTATTCAAAGGTTTTGTAAAAAAAATATATTCAAGGGTATACCAATATAACATTAAATCATTAAAAAAAATAATAGAGATCTATTAGGATATTTAGGAAATATCATATATTTAGGAAATATTTTATCTTCTCTGTTTCCATGTTTATCTAGGACTAGGATTCTAGAGATCTTTTGTATTATATATTTCGTGCTTTTCCATCAATAAAAGCTAAGCAATTTCTGCCCAATTCTACCTAATTCTACATGGTATCAGAGCAAAGTTTCTAATCAATAGCATTTAATGGCAGGTGATGATGTTCCACCGCCACCCCCACCACCGACCGAAATAAAACCAAATTCCCCTTATAGATCAAAAGGAGACGTGTGGAGTATGAAATAGTTATATCACCGTAGTGTGAGACCAAATTAGATTATTTTTTTTGTAGAACATCCATATTAAAAAACTACATTGATAAAATTTTACAATCAATAACTATATATTAAAAGAGAAACAAGGAGTGGCACATATCATCTCCTGGTTTTTTTTTTTTTTTTTTTTTTTTTTTAATTTTTTTTAGAGAAGTACTTAATACTTACTATACAATAATACAAATATTTCTTTTCTTATTTGGTAAGTGTATTCCATTTATACACATTCAACCGATCAACAAAGATATTATTCTTTTATACAATACTATGCAATAACATTTATTTTTTTTATTTATAACTTTGTGATATAATCTTTTTTTTTTTTTTTTTTTCAGTCATGCTTATATTTCTCCCTTTGTCTTCTTTAGTGTGATATATATTCTTTTTAAATTTAGTAATTACATAACTTTCATCCTATTTTGCAACTAAATAGTAGTATTAAACTAATGATAAATATTAAAAATTAATGTGCATGACACGGGATCTAACCTAGTGGCTACAATAATTTGATGGCCACTATAACTTTTAAATTATGACCGTATACTAGTAGAAAAACACAAATGGGCACCGAGTTAGTGGCACCGGTTCTTTAAAAACGGTTCTCAACAACCAGGCTTCGAAATCCCCCGTCAATTTGAGCGTCTCTGTCATTCTCAACAACCATCATCGCCGCCGCCATCTATCTCTCATATGCTTCTCTCTCTTACCTCCTCTCTCCTCAAACTCGCAGTCACATGCATGAAGCCACCGCCGGTCAAATCTCGAAGTCACCGCCGGCCTGATCCCTTATCCACCGCCGCTTTCCCTTTCCTTTTTTCTCTCATTCGATATTCTTCTCCATAACTGCCCGCAAGCAACTCCATCGATGGCTAGGGATTTCTGAAACAATTTAAATTCAATTTATGCAATTTATCTCCTTTTTGATTCAGTTTTTTTTGAAATTTCACAATTAATCCTGCTTTCTTTTTCATATTCTGTAACTTGATGTTTAAATTTCAATTTTTACCGATTTATTGATTATATTTTTGTGCTAATTTTTATTCTTTGGAATTTTTTTTTCAATCCATTTTTTCTTCATTTGGGCGATTTCTTCCTCTGTAACGATTCTGGGTCAAGGCTAGTTTTCTGATTTGTGTTAAATTTGATTTTGGTTTATGTTCATTAATTTAGTGTTTATGTTTGTTATAATCTAAATCTGGGTATTACTGAATTCTGGGTTATAAATACTTTGAAGATTTTCGTTTAATTTTTATTAATGGGAGATGGGTTTCAGGTGTCGTTTGGTTGCTATGGAAATTTACTTCCCATAGGAATTTGTATTTCATGGGAATTAAATTCCTACGTCAAAATCATGGGAATTGTATAAAGTTGTTTGGTTGGCACGAGAGAAGTTGCAAATTATGGGAAATTTGACTTAGGTAATTAACTTCCCATGTTTTATGGGAAGTCACACTTTCCATGAATTTGCAAATCCCTCATTTACACTTTTTATTGTCAACTAAAAAACTCATGCATTTTCAAATTCCCATGATCTTTCACTTCCCAGTTTTCTTTGTGTAACCAAATAACCAGACAGTTATTAAAGTTGTCAGCATCCGAGTAATAATTTGGCTTTATTTATCATTATATTGCTTGTATGGAATCACTGTGTAACCACTTTCTTTTGTTTTATTGAATTTTAGTTATAATGGGTTTTCTCTTCAATGCACACTTCTTAGTCTTCAGAAATTTCTTTTTTTAATCCTCGTATTTTCCCTATCATGTATATCCGTCCGTTATTGTAGAACCCGAACTTTGAGTCCCTATATATAAATTTAGAGAAAATACAGGTCCAATTTTATATAGGAATCTATAACCCTTAATAAAAGTGGGAAGTTAGTAACAGTGTTTTTGGGGTTATTACAGTTACACCCCCGAATTCAATGGATTGACGAAATTACCCCTCGTGCTTTTGCATTGCTTTTTTTTTTTTGCCACCTGTATAGGAGAGTACAGGTGTTGTGTTTTGGCTGCCAGCTAAGGCTTGTGTTTTGGCTGCCAGTTAAGGCATTGTTTCCGTGTATTTCATTACAGGAGATGTCATTGAGGCTCGATTTGGGTTTGGTTTGGTTTTGTGTTTCCGTTGCTGATGAGGCTTGGAAGGGAATTCGGTTTGATTGCTGCTATGGTTGAGATTGGGTGGTATGGTTTCAATTCCTTTTTTTGCACTGTTGCCTTTGATTTGTAGATATGGCTTCCCCCTTACTTCTAAAAGACCCTCCTTAACCCAAGCGGACTTTATCATTAGGAAGCTGAAGGGTAAACTCTCCTCCCGGAAAAGTAAGTGCCTTTCTAAGGCTGGCAGAGCTACCCTTATAAGGTCTTGCCTCTCCCCCATTGCAAATCATGCAATGCAAGTCCTATTCCTCCCAAAAAAGGCCCTTAAGCAAATTGACTAAGCTTGCTCCCATTTCTTCTGGAATTCCTCCTCTGAATCTCCCAAAACTCACCTCTTAGCTTGGGAAAAGCTGTGTGCTCCCTCTTCTATAGGGGGCCTGGGTTTCAGATCTGCTACCCTTGCGAATACTGTACACATGATGAAACTATGCTGGAAGACTCATTCCATAACCAACCTAGCAACATCTCTTCTCCATGAAAAATATATTGAGGGTAAGGAAACTCCTACTAAATTTCAGCTTGGCTCTCATATATGGCAAGATATTGGCAAAGCATGGAACCATTTCCAAAGCCACCCCAAATGGGCCATAGGAGATGGAACTAGGATCAAATTTTGGCAGGATAACTGGCTAGGGCCTGATCCATTAGAAATTTGATCCAGGACCCTCTCCTCCACAATGAATTGGATATGACCCATCAACTAGCATCAGCCGTGCTGGAAGAACCACTAGCACCACTGGCAGACCCACCAGTAGCGCTGGCAGAAGCAGCAGCAACACTGGTAGAAGCTGCAGCTGTGGTGGCAAAGGCAGCAGGAGTGGTAGCAAGGTGAAGGGCAGCAGTAGCATATGCGGAGGAAGCAGCAGTAGAAGAAGAGGAAAGAACAGTATCGACAGAAGCAATAACAGCCACAGCAGGGCTGCGATGTGGGATGTGAGCCACAGTAGGGCTGCGGTGTGGGCTGTCCGTGGCCTCGGTGTCAAGAGAAGACTCACCAATTGCCAGAACATGCTCAAGGTCGTCTAAGAAATCAACATCAACACCATTGGTACCATCATTGCTTGTATCAGTAGAGGTGCAACTAGTGACAAACGAAAAATTTGTTCTCATGAAATTTAACATCTCTTGACACAAAAATTTCACCCGAGTCTAGATCATATAGCTTCCAACCCTTCTTGCCATGACGGTAACCTACAAACACACACTTTCGACTTCAAGGTACAAATTTATCACCCTTATCCCTTTGAGTATGAGCAAAACAAGATTATGAGCAAAGCAAAGACAACCAAAGACTCGCATTTCATCAAAAGAAGGTTCTTTGCCAAACAAGACATCATATGGTGTCTTATTGCCTGGTACACGAGAGGGAGTACGATTAATCAAATACATGGAATCAAGAACACATTCACCCCACAAAGTAATTGGCAAATTGCCTTCAAACAATATTGCACGAGCCGCATTTAACATATGTTGGTGTTGTGCTCAACCCAGCCATTTTGTTGTGGAGTACCAACACACGAAGTTTGAAATAAAATGCCACGTTCATCAAAATAAGGAAGCATGTGTTTAAATTCTGTACCATTGTCACTCTGAACACACTTCACAGACACTTCAAATTGAGTTTTAAACATAGCAAAAAAGCAGAAAGAGGAATAGACCTCGGTTTTGTTATTCAACAGATATACCAAAACACCTCTTGAAAAATCATCGACAATAGTCAGAAAATAATGAGCACCACATGTAGACGGAGTCTTATACGACCCCCACAAATCACCATGAATCAATTCAAAAATGCAACTAGCACAACTATCACTTGTAGGAAAGCTATCACGAGTTTGTTTAGCGTGAGGACAAATTTCACATGCCTTATCTAAATATTGACTATGAGAACTACCTCGAATAGCAGGAAGTAACTTGACAATTCTTTCTGACGGATGCCCCAAACGGCGATGCCATAATTCAAATGTAGAGACCTCCGGATCTGTGACCGCACATACTTTTCGAAGATGCCGGAAGTAGTAGAGTCCATCTATTCGTTCACCGCCTCCAATCAGGCTCCCCGAATTTTGATCCTGTATGGCACATAAAGAATTAGTGAATCGTACATAATAGTGAGTGTCATCAATCAATTTAGACACCGAAATCAAATTGCAATTTAATTTAGGAACAAATAGGACGTGTTCAAGAATAATTCCATCTGTCAAGAAAACACGACCCTCCTTTGTTGCAATTGCTTGAGCACCATCGGGGAGACCAACGGGGCATGGGAAAATCGATTTAGTATCAATTAGAGAAGACTCGTCACCAGTCACATGATGAGAGGCACCCGTGTCAATAATCCAATATAGTGAAAAATAATCACCCATCCTCGTGTCTGACGAACAATGAGTGTTAACAGTAGAGGAAGTTGCTGCCGTAGCGTGAGCAAGGACAACAGCAGGTGACAGAATAGCAGTAGCAGTAGTATGAGTAAGAGCGGTAGGGGAAGAAGTAGATGACGGGGCAGCAGCAGCCTTACCGTTTCCTTGGCTGCCGTATTTGGTCAGCCACCATTCGGGTAGCCCATGAACAAGAAAACAACCATCATAATCGTGTCCCGTACGATTACAATGGGTGAAATATAAATTCGATTTCTATCGTCGCTTATGTAGAAAGGTACTAGGGGACAAATTAGCAGTGTGATCGGATTTAATAGAAGAAGACATAGTGTTATATTGATCAGGTATGGTAGTAGAAGCAGTAGAATTGCAACCCACGCAGTGCAAATATGCAGAACCAACAAACTACAATGCGAAAGAAAACAAAAATGTAACTTTGGGAACAGGAATTAGAAATTGGTAGTGGAGATTAAGGAATTAGAAAAAATCGAACCAGAAAGAAAGAAATAGAAATTGATTTAAGAGATTAGAACTTAGAATTTGAGATTGATAATGAGGATTAGAAAAAAAAAAATTAGAATTTTAGGGTTTAGATTGATTTTTGCTCCGATACCATGTCAAATTAGAGAAGATGAATATAGTGAATGATTTTCCGTATGTTGTATTACGTTATGCACAAAGTAAATATACAACCTAAGAGTGGAGATTAGGGCTTATACGGTGGCCCAATTCTATATACATTGTATGGCTTAACAGTATAACACACTATTAACTCAAATTAAGAAAATTTAATAATCAAAGGAAAAAAGGGAGTATGGAAAAGATGTCGAAATCAAATTATAAATAAAGATGAGGGGGAGAGAAATTGAAAGAAGAACTTTTAAATATTATATCCAATGATTCAATGTACAATACACTAATATAAGTAGCAACATCTTCACCTATGATGAAACTGCATGGAGAGGGGATCAACTAGGCCTTTACATCCTATGAAAGTGCAATTGCAAACTCTTGCTCCGTGTCATATGCTGCCAAAAGGAACGGAATTAGTTACTAGTTCCTACCTAAAGTGTGAATTAAAAACGGGTATGTAATTATATACTTCATCGTTCTTTTTTACTTGATCCGCTTTGACTTTAATACTATTCACCACTTCTCATTTGACCGTCTTTTATGAATAATATATAAGAAAAAACATATTCATGTTGGATCTTTTTGAATTCGTCTCAATAAGTACTATCATTATATATAACTTTTATAATTTTTACTTATGGAGAATTAAAGGTACGGAATTAGTTACTTGTTCCTACCTAAAGTGTGAATTAAAAACGGGTATGTAATTATATACTTCATCCGTTCTTTTTTACTTGATCCGCTTCGACTTGTACGAGTTGTACGGGTTGAATAAAAATATCAATTAACTTGAAGGTTTATTTGTGTTGATGAAAGATTTTATGTATTCCTAGGTGCAAGATGTACATATTTTTGGACATCATAAATAGGAATAATGAATGATTTGTGAATGGAATGTAAAGCTTTTTTTGTTCAAATAAATTTCATTATTTATGTTATAGAATTAGTACAAAACGAGATGTACAAAGTAAATCTCCTACAATAGAATTTGTTATATACACCCGGGTGTACCGTACACCCAACTAACCTAAGGTTAGGTTTTTTTTTTTTTTTAATTTTTTTTATTTGATGATAAAATGAAAAACAATTACCACAATGTGAACAAATACTCATTGATGTACAGTACACCTGGGTGTATATTTTTATATAACAACCTCTCCTCCTATAAAAATAGACGAGTATATAAGAGTATAGCATTCTAGTTATGACGTGAGATTAAGTAATTTTGTAGTAGATTAGGGCATTCTCATTATAAAAGAAGATGGGCCAATTGTAATTGATGTTTGCTCATGTATTACACATAAAATGTAAAGTAACAAACTTTGACAATGAACAATCTAATAATGAAGATGGTACATAAATAAAATCATGCTTAATGCAATCAAATCAACCAAAGCAATACTCGTACATTATTATTGAACAGCCGGGAAACAAACATGGCCGGAGTAGTGAGACTATCATACATTGTCGATCAAATTTGATTCATTTATAGTGTTTTTTGACCTTTCCGGATAACACATCATTATTGATTTCCTCCTTAGCCAACCAATAAGCTTCCATATGAATCGCGAAAAATGTCCCACGAGTATAGTTCCCATTAACCCTAGCCAAGCTACGAGAGAAAACTCTAATGCAGTCCAAATTCCGCCATCTCCATAAGTTAGATTGGATACCGAGAACTTGTATGTCAATGTTGTTGCCGTGACAGAAATCCATAGGATTATCCTTAAAACAGTTAATAAATATCGATTGCAAGGAAGGCCGCTTATAAGGAAAAGGATGACACTTAACGATGATATTAGCCCTATCGTGTTAGTAACTAGTACATTATTGTAATCAAAATGACGACCATATGACCATACAGAAGTACCTGCATATGCGGTGTGGTCCTTATGTAATCCTAAATTTTTTATATCTTGTTGGCTAGTATATGTTTTTGAATCCTGCCAAACGCCTCCTGGGGGATTAATTCCAACTTGGAAAGCCATGGTTGCGATCAAGGATGCCACCACCATTAGAGATGTGCGATGGTCCTCCAACCAAGCACGCTCTTTTGTCGTTTTCAGTGCTTCCTTTGCGGGTAACACATTTGCACGATCAAGGAGTTTCCATATCTTTGTATCTTGTATCGAATCCCTCCGACTTTTCTTATGAGTATCCACAACTGTCAATCCATTTTTGTTAATCGCATTCTGTTTAATCTTTGGATGTACTATTAAAATTTCTACCATCTGCATATTATCAAATTGAAGAATAAAAGTGTAAGTTATGTAATAATCTGTTACAATATCAACATCTCATGACAATTTTGTTCATTACATATTGATAGAGTATAAACATATTCTTGGACTTAACTATAAATTTAAGCATTTAGTTGACAACTATAGTTGAGTTGATTCTCTTACATAGGGTATAACTTTATGCTACATTGACTCTACTACTTTATTATTATTTATAACTTAAATGATGAGAGCCTTTAGAAAGAAAAATTAGATTAACACAAAATTAATTATGCACACATTGACCCATAATTATAACTCAAATGACGAGAGTCTTTAGAAAGAAAAATTAGATGAACACAAAATTAATTTTGCACATTGACCCATAATTAAGTAAAAGAAAAAAAATTATAAACTAAAAAAAAAAAAAAATAAAAAAAAAGAGAATCAATACTCTAAGAGCATCTCCAATAATAGTTTAATTATAAGAACTTGCTTGCAATATAATAATACCTAGCTACATGCTTATTATTGAAGAACGGAAAATTAAGCTACATGCAAGCTACTATAGCCCAAACAAGCTACATACTTAAATGAAAAAAAAGGATTTATAAACTCCACTCCTATTGTAACATGGAAGTTAGTTATTGTTACAGTTAGTTGGTCAATTAGTTAGATAAGATCATGCTCCTAATTATTAGCTTTAGGCTGTTATTCCATATTCTATTTATATTTCGGAGCTGAATCAAACTTGTATTGTCGTATATTACCCCCTCTTGTCTGTAATGAGGCCTATCATAAGATCCTATCTCTTACTGGCTCTTTGCCTATTATTCCTGAAATTGGTGATGTCCCAGCTGCTATTATAAACTATGTATTAAATAATTTTAAGTAATTAGCATAGCCTCCTTTCCGTTTAATAAAAATAAATAAATAAATAAATAAATAAATAAATAAATAAAGAAGGCTATTTATTATATTCATGCATCTTTGTATTCTCATTGAGTAGAACAGTGTGTGCAAGTAAATAAAATTAGTTTTGTTTCTCTATTAATATTATTCTTCCGCTTTAGTATTAGCTTTAACAATGGCAGCATCAAAGAGGATAATCGATCTCTTTGACCTACAACTTTGATTTTTATTATTTTTAATTTTTTAGGGGCGTGTTACCCTTTGTTACTTCACGGGCCCGTCCTTGCCCCTATCTTCTAATTAAAGCTGCGATGAGTCTATCAAAGTCTAGATCATCGAGGAAGCCCCAGTTAATCAATTTGATAAACAAATTTGTTTATCAAATGGCAAAATGGTAAATCCCTACTTTGATAAACAACATAAATCCCTACTTTGAATTTTCCAATATGGTGTGTAATATAGTAACAGTAGTTAACACTTAAAACTTTGTTTGGATAAGAAAATAAAAATAAAAAGACTATTTAACACTTAACACTTGTTTATTTTCATATTACCTCTGGTTGTTTGGCAGCCACAGCTAGGTGCAAGACGGTATTACCAAGAGCATCATCGAAGTTAAACAACTCACCATCATCCATCGTTTTTACCAAAAACCTCAAAGCCTCTGGTTGTTTATGTTTCACACACAAATGCAACACACTTTCACCACCCATAGTTCGCTCCCGAGCAGCTTGTGGCTCTACTTTAAGAAGAGCTTTAAGTACGGCAATTTGACCATTTATGGCGGCTACGTGAACAGGCGTCTTACCCTCTTGGTCATGTGTGTAGCAAATGCTCGAATTCACGTCTAGCAAGGTTTCGACGATTTGCAAGTGCCCTTCAGCACAGGCAATGTGTAGGGGTGACGATCTTTTTATTTGATCGACCACCTCTACTAGTTTTGGCTTTTTTTCTATTATCTTCTTAGTAAAATTTACATGCCCAAAATTTGCTGCTACATGTAATGGTGACTGCATATATCTTCCTGAATTTTCGATGATGCATCGATCAAGGATATGTGGGTCTTCTTCGAGCAAGTTGAGCAATGAAGGTTCGTCTCCCTTGAGTGCTGCATCATATAGCTTTGTTGTAGCATCCATATTTTGTGTGGTGTATTATAGGAAGTATTTTGAATTTTTCATGCAATGCTAAGTTTACTTGCAATTGTTCACGCCCTTACTCTATCTATTTTATAACCTTTATTTATGGGTAAGAAAAAAAGAATGTTGGATCAATGAATATAGATCTTTTTATTCTCATGTTTTTCATGGAAGCTCACTACTTCACTCTCTAGTCTCTATTATGAATTTTCAATCCAAATAGCAAACCTTTTTATAGCAAAGACTATTATTATCAAGACTTTTTATAGCCGCCTCCGTTTTTATTTTGTTTTTTCTATCTTCTCTCTTTTTTTAGACGCCTCCCTTTTGTTTATTACTCCATTTATATTACTTTTTGTTGTTCTATAAGCTATACTACTAAACGCTAGTCTTATTGTGGAAATTTATAGTTAGATTGACCCGTTGACTATTAAGAACATGAAATGAGTAATCTTCTTGTGGAAATTTAAAGTAGACTAACCCGTGGCCATTGATGATTCAAGAATATGAAATGTGTAGTCTTCTTGTGAAAATTTAAAGTTAGACTGAACCGTTGACTATTCAAGAATATGAAATGTGTAGTCTTTTGTGGAAATATAAAAGTTAGACTGACCCGTTGACAATTCAAGAATATAAAATGTGTAGTCTTCTAGTGGAAATTTAAAGTTAGACTGACCCATTGACAATTCAACAATATGAAATTTAAAATGGGATTTCCCCGTTCTCTCTCCCGATTGAGATAGATTGATCCATTGACATTTTTTAAGCTTAATTTTTTTGATAGTCCTATTTCGGGAGGGAAAAATAAGCTTAAACATATACCAATTAATGACCTGATATCAATATCATATAGGAGTGTTGTACAATATAGACCTGGTCTAATTGATAAACATGCAGCATTGAAAGATAATCTAATGACAAAGAAGTACAATAAATGAAAAAAATAAAATGCCAGTATTAAAGAGGTCGAAGTCAAAGTATATCTTTGTCATACTTGATTATTTTTAATTGACATTATTTGTAGAAATAAAGTGTATAAACACCAATGACCAGTATTTTAGTGGCAATTGATATGATCTGAAAGCCTTATGTATGATATAATGAAAATGTACGTAACTTTATGTAATTATGTATGTTTGACATAGTTGTGGTAGTACATCCTTGTGGTGGTAATTTAAACAACGATCACGATACTCCAAATTATCTATTAAATTAACCATTGAAAGAAGGAAAACGACTACTAGCTAATTAAATGAGAAAATGTCTATTTAATTTAGCAATTCATTGGCACAAAACTATATTTTTGCACCAAATTCAGTTGCATTACAGTTCAATTCATAATAATGGTCTCATACCACAATCACTAACGATGTATGTATTTTATATCATGCAAGGCTAAATAAAAAACCATGTATGAATTTTGTGGCATATAAATCTTCTATATACAAGTGAAAATGTTAAACTGGTGGATGGTATCTAGGCCTCAGGGTACAACGATTAACTCCTCTTATCACCAGCCGTAATATTTTTTTGATCAATTTATATAATAAACGAATGACATGCCCGAGGATGAGTAGTCCTAGCAAGAATATCCAAGCAAGACTCGCAATAATTATTGTATCTTGAACAAGATGATGTTTGTTCGACAACAGATCTTCTTTAAAGGAATGTAGGCTCTCTTTGGAGGTCCCAAGGAAGTAAATAGAGACTATGTAAGTCACGGTTGTTGCTGTTACCGCGATCCACATGGTTAACATCAAAAGTCCCATGACGAGTCTCATACAAGGGAGTCCACTTATAAGAAGAACTATCACAGTTAAAGATGACACTAGTCCTATTGTGTTGGAGATGAGGAATGCATCGTATATTCCTTGGTTATGTTGTTGTCCTTGCTCGACACGTGCCATTATTGAAGTACCTTCCTTATGACCATTTTCGTTATCTTGCCATACGCCTCCAGGAGGGTTGATTCCGGCTTTGAAAGCCATTGTGGCTATTAGTGATGACACTACCATAAGAGCAGTACGTTGCTTATCTAACCAATCGCGACTGCTTTTTTTAGGTTTCAACAATTTTTTTGCCTTTAACACCTTGGCGCGCCTTAAAGCTAACCAAATTCCGCCATCATGAGCATCTCTCTTAGTTTGGAAGTACATGTCCATTGCAGTTAAGCCATTAGTGTTGATTGCATTTTTCTCCATCCTCTTTTCCTTTAGTAAGAGCTTTATAGTCTACACATTTTACATGTTAGTCAAAAGGGCAAAGTTTATGTTAGGTATAATAAGTATTGCAATTTATATATATATGGAAGACTTGAATTAAGATGGATTATGCCTTATCAATATATATTCACTTTAATATGTACACCGCATTGAACTAAAATAATTTTCATGGTATTTTTTTAACTTTTAATTAAGAATAAAACAAAACGAGTATACAAAATTACAAATACAACTCATACAAGTTAGTGCACACGTCATTCAGACTTATTCCTTAACAAGGAACTGAGGCAACTATTTATAGGGGGAATATGTACTATATTTTTTTGGTGAAGGGGAATTTGTACTATGGCAGCTGCCGTTTTCATGATAACAAGATGTTCCCCCTACTAAACATTTAAATAAAATCAAATTGGATTAAAAATAATTAATGAATTCGCTACAAGTAAACAAACCCGTTTTTTTTAGGATGCCCCACCTTCTCATGGTGAGAAACAAATTTTGTTTCTCACATGGCATTTTCGTAAATATACCAACAACTTTATTCAACTGTGGAGCCCACAATAATGAAAAAGTTGTTGATTTATTCACGAAAATGCCTTCCTAAGAAACAAATTTCGTTTCTCACCATGAGAAACAGGGAATTTACCGTTTTTTTATGTAGATGTTTATTTTGCACTACCTTCAATGGTTATACTTTTATACTCTGTATAAGTTTAAACTTATCTATCAATATTATAATTATATTTTAGTAAAAATTAAAAATTCTAAATGATTCACTAATACGAAATAAAATGAAGATTTTACATGTTTATGTGATCATATATGCAATAACTAATTTTATCGGTGTAGATAGGGTCACACATGATGCAATAATATAAACAGTAGACGACGCAAATCTTAATTAGGAGCCACAATTTTGTTGGAAACGGAGCAACAGATAAACACAATATTAGGAAGAATAATAAAGTACGGAACAACAAGAAAACAACACACAAGATTTTTACGTGGAAAACCCCTCCTCAATAAGGGAAAAAACCACGGTCCGGATCTCCACGGACGAAAACATCTTTACTAGCAATAATATCGGAAGTACAATGACCACTACTACAATTACAGTACTCCCTCCGTTTTTAAATACTTGCTCAATTTCTCCATGCACGGAGTTTTAGGAGAAATTGGAGAATGTAATAAAATATACAGGTAGTGGGGTAGTTGAGAAAATAAAAAATCGTAAAAAGCAAAAGTAGCGGAAGAATAGGAGGAGAGAGAGTATTATGTTGGGTCCACTAAGTGTGAAAAATGAATTAAATATTGTAAAAGATTTCCATAAAAGGAAATAGAACAAGTATTTATAAACTGCCCGAAAAGAAAAGTGAAGCAAGTATTTAAAATCGGAGGGAGTATTAGATACAATATATTTTAGGATAGTCTATACTAAGTACCCTCTAACTTTGGTACTTATATTAATTCTAAAATAACCCTCACACTAATATTGTGTTTGCCATTTTGTCACTTCCTCCCTCACAACTACAACTATAAATCTCCCTCTCTTTGAGATTATAGCTGCTCTACTATTTTGCTAGTAAGGTTCTTCTTGCACACAATACTCATGGCAACATGCTACATTATATACTACCTCCGATCCAAATTACTCGTAACTTTGGAATATTTTATATCTCAAAAATAATACCTCAAAGTTGCAACTAATTTGGACCAGAGGTAGGGCCTGTTCCGATTGACTGAACTCAGTTGAACTGAACTGAACTGAACTGAACCGAGCTGAACTGAACTGAACTGAACTGAACTGAACTTATTAATTAGTGATTTTTAACTGCGGATTAGTGATCTTTGATTATTTATTGATATTTATTACTATACATATGTGTATATACAAATGTACATATTAAAATATTTACGAAAAATATACTATATAATTATAACTATAAAATGTATGGAAAATATATTATAAAATGTATGGAAAATATATTAAAAACTTGAAACCTCTAAACATTTTAAACACATATACTATTTAATTCAAAAATAAAATAGTATTAGGACAAAAGAACACAAAACACTTACATGTATCTAACCCATTTAAACAAATTTTAAATAAAATAATATATATATAAAAATAAAAAAAAATAAAAAAAATAAAAAAAAACAACAAGAAAAGCTGAAATTAGCTACGGCCCAACACCCTAACCCACAATAATAATCAACAAGAAAAGCTTTATTGATTATTATTGTTAGTATTATTATTATTATTTCAATTATTATTGTTATTATTATTATTATTGTTATTATTATTATTATTATTATTAAAATTAAAAAAAACCTACAAATTCAATCAATTTACAAGAAATTGGTAGGGAGCCGAGATACAATCTGGGCTCCCACCCCTCTATCTATAGCGAACCCGATCCTACTGAAGATGTGAGCAGCTGCACGAGCACCAATATCCTGAGTCTTAGCGAACGCCTGAACCCGCTTCAGCAACGCAATAGCATCCTTGTCTAATTCCCCTAATGAAGAAAAGGAGAAAGGAAGAAAACCATAGCCATTAGCCCTGCAACGTGCCCCATACTTGTCCCACTTCCGCTGAGCCGCCGCCGACACAACACGACCAGGAACGAAGTCAGACAACCCCGAATGTGTCAAAGGTGAAGACCCCGTCAAGTCGACACATACATCACGTCCTCTATCCCAGGAATAAAGCAACACATCTGCTGGTCGTAGCGTCCCCTCGTTCCCACCAGTCAACCCAACGTTGACCTCCTTTCGAGCAGAAATCCCAAACCGAAAACAAATATCAACAAGGGTGTCACGAACAACGTTGTGCCGATGTTTAATACCTACTATCCCAGCACAAGATACTGCATGATCCCCATAAATATCTCCATCAAAAACCCTTGAGCAAGTAGAACACGGTGTTGAAACGGAGAACAATGGAACACCCAATCGATAACAAAGAACACAACGGTAAGTCTTACCATTCATAGCCTGACCCAAACCCGATATCGGGACCGTTCGCAACCAAGCCGAAGAGTGATTCCCCTGTTGGGACTTCCATAAGGCAACCTGACGCGGAGATAAGGAGAAAGTGGAATCCACAGATGAAGTGACCTTCGTGAAATATATATCTGCCAATTTTTTCATGAGTCTGGGGGCAGCGATCTCACTAGAGTTACTCAAAAGGTCAATCTCCACAGTCCTGTTAAAAAGACTAAGAGCATCATCAAAGGCCGGTCCCGGACCAACAATACCAGAATCGCGAAGAAGCGTAGCCTGAAGACCAGAAGACTGGAGACGCGACGCAAGGAAAGCGTAATGCCGAACATCACCCGCCGAATATACACCCAAACCACCATAAGAAAAAGGTAAGGTGGCAAGTCGCCATTTCCAATCACCAAAACCAGGCCCCGAAGCAGTTACAATACGCTCTAAAGAAGCTCGAAGGGCCACGTCAAATGAAACCTGCGCCGTTTCAAAAAGACGAGGAGGACAAGTGCGCATAGCAAAGTAGAGTTTTGAAACCCCAGTACACGCACGGAGAAGTAACAACTCGCAATATTATTATTATTATTGTTTGGGTCCAATTTAGTCCAATTGGGCCTGGTCACTGAATGATCCAATTAAAAGCCCAAGGTTAAGGTTCAACTCTCCAAATGTGCTAAAGTCAAAAATCAACATCCTCAAAGCCATGTCAAGGTCAGTCAACGGCCCAATCAGCTTGGCCCAGCCCAACTGACTTCCGGGCCCAATCCGCCTCCTTCATTAGCCAAGGTATAAAAGCCAACAATTTGGTCAATTCTTGGTAAGACAATAAAGCCTCAAGCAACTAAACTCTTGCACAGCTTTCTCTCTCTAATATACTGACTTAAGCATCGGAGGGGCCTTCCTCGGCGTCCCCCCCGAGGCTAGTTTACGTGTATTTGTTGTGCAGGAAACCCTCGGCTCCTGCGTCGTTCGGACCGAGACCAAGTTCCCTCAAGATAAAAGGATCTTCCGAGATTCGATTGTTTTCATCCGAAACAATTTGGCGCCGTCTGTGGGGAACGCTACTAAATTTCGCGTCAGTCATCAAACACTCCGGCAGTCGCCATGACTAAGAGTGGAAAGAGTTCCAAGAAGGCTAAGAAGGGAGGAGGCCAGATTACGGTGAGGGAACGCCAGCCGGTTTATCCCTCCCCGGAGCAAGCCTCTTCCGAATCGGAGGCCCCCATTTCTCCGGAAAGGGAAGCCTCAAGAGGTCCTAGCCTCCAGGAGGAGAACACCTCGCACCACACTCGGCAGCCGGGGCCATCCCCGAGACCGAGTGGCTCAGGTGCGAGGAACTCCCCGCCGCGCCATAGCGTGCAATCCAGGTCACATCCGCGGGAGACTCCTCCCTCCGGACCCTCCACCGAGGAAGTGGCCAGAGCAGTGGCCATCTGCATGGAGTTCCTTAAAGCTCAAGGGGCTCCAATCCAGATGCCTGATGATCACCAGCCGAGAAACCTGAAAAGGAGGATCGGTCAGGATGATGGTGGACAAGTTCCACCACATAGAGAGCTCGGCCAGAGGTGGCGAGGGGACACCCGAAACTCCAGTAAGGAGAGGAGGAGGAACCCTCAACCCTCTGACCACTCCGAAGCTCAGAATTCCATGGGGCCCTCCAAGGACCCGGAATTCGCCCGCCAAAGCGTTCACGAACGCTTGGGTTCGAGGGAGGTGAGTGTGCATAGCCGCCTCACCTTCCCAGAGGATACCGGACCCCACCCAACCTTGTCTCAGCCGGGGACGAAAACCACTTCCACCTCTGAGAGAGGAGGGAGCGAGGTCCCTGAGGCTGGGTACAAGGGGAAGGCGGTCATGGTTCCATCGAACTCGCCCTTCCAGAAGTGGATTCTGGAAGAGCATGTGCCAACGGTCAAAATCCCGGCACATATTACTTACGATGGTACCTCAGATCCTAAGGATCACATTGCCTCTTACGAGGGGCACATGTATCTGAACCCGAGGTCTGAGGC